CTGGTAAGGGATAAGCGGATGAAAATGGATGGATGGATGTACTGTGAGTTTTTACCAACCTGTGAATGTAGTGAGAGATCATGATAAATCTTTGTTAATCCACAGCTCACACACAATTAACCAGTTTAAAAATCAATTTACTGCCCAAGTTGTACTGACCGAAAAATACTTTCTTTTCTAATTTCTAAATTTCTAAACTGTCTGTTTTTGGATAACATTTCATTCTGATGTAGTTAGAAAAAAAAACAAAACCAAGAGCCTTTTCAGTTGAAACTGACTGATGGAAAACTCCTGGTATTTACCTTTCAAGGGCTCAGTGCCTGAATGGAGAGACGCTGTGTTAAACAATGCAGGTATATCCACACCCTGGCCTACTTACAGGGGGTAAGGTTCACCTGGTTCACCTGGTTCACCCGAGTCGAGGTGTGAATGTGGGGGTTCGTATGAACCACCTGCGGGATATTGGAGTCTGCTGGTCTTCTGTGTTTGAGTGTGTGGTTTTCTAGGAAGAGTTTTCTAGAAAGAGAGCTCTGGACCACACCGCTGGTTTTATTAAAAGATGTTTTCTTCAGGTTGACATACAGGACTGTTCTCCTCATCTCTCAGACTGTCTGTCTTCCCTGACAACAACCCGTACACTGTCAACCAAAGACATCTGTAGCAAGACTTTTCTAATGACTGTCCACTAGCAGTTCTTAACTTAACTTCATCCACTCAACACTTTGTCCAACTTTTCCGGGGTAATCCTGAGGCGTTACCAGAACAGCCAGAGGACATTGTCCCTCCAGTGTGTCCTGGGTCTTCCCTTGGGCCCCCTCCTGGCTGGAGGTATTTCACCCAGATGCCACCGCCGTCCCATCCGTCTTAATGTAAAGAAGCAGCGGCAGCAGCTCTGCTCTGGGCCCATTCCGGATGACTGAGCGTCTCCCTCTGTCTCTAGGGAAATGTCCAGACAACCTGCTGAAGAATCCACGTGTACATCGTAGCTTACATTCAGTTGCTTATGTCATTTAAAATCATTACTTTTTTTACTCTCTTTAGGATGAAACTGGTTGAGCATAGGTTTCTAAAACAAGAAATTGAATATCTTACGTCAATATTTAAACACATGTTCTTTGTCAACAGACCTCATTTCATCGGATTTCTTAACACCGTAGAACTCTGCTCCTGTTGCACCACATTCCTTACCTTTTTCTAATCTTTTTCTTTCTGCCTGAATCTGCAATAGTACTTGTTGTAATCGTATCAACACTTGCAGTTTTGTGACCAATTTCCTGGCAGGTGTGACTCATCGATACTGATTTTTTTTTTTGTTGCTAATTCCTATATCAATTTACAGCAAATAAAATGTAGTTCAATGCAAAACCAAATCACCAAAGAAGAAAAGTGTTCTTAATTATCTAACTGCAGAGATCTGAGATGTTGCGATCCTTCAGTTTGACTGAAGTCTGAACTCAACAGTCAACGGCCTGAACCTCTCATCTGAAGCCACCAGATGTAGTGAAGCTCATTCTTAGAAGTCACATAAGGTTTCTGTTGTGTTCATTTTCCACAGACTTTCTTTGTTAACCCAGCTGAAGCCTCCGTTGGGATGTGTGTGTGTGTGTGTGTGTAGGCGTTCACATGTAAAGTTGCCTGACAACAAAATAACACTTTTGTTCAGATCCACAGACCTGAGGCTCAGGCAACAGTTTAATTAAGGTGCAATGTTCGAGCTCATGTGAATCCTGAAGTCACAGCTCTGCCCTACCTGAGATCACGTTAACTTTACTAAAGAGTCACCGTGAAGATTCTCACAGTTAGGACAAGGACATCGGAGTTAGGATCAAAGAGATTAGACACAGGTTATTTGTTTTTATTTGAAATGCATTTCCAAAGTGTTTGAAACCCAGATAAGAGAAATAAATGTATTTATTACATTTACATTTACATCGGTCAATGAAAAGTTGTAAAGTTAAAGCGTAAATTTCTTGTGCTGTGAGAGGAACATGTTACTGTTGTTCCATTAAACTGTTCCTGTTCTACTGTGTAGGAATTTCTTGTGTGCTCAGATGTTAATTAAAAAATTAGGATACAGCGCTGCAGAATATTGATATTTTGGTGTATCTATAGTTTCTTACACCCCTACTGTTAATAACCAGACATAGTGTTTGTCATTGACTGACAGTGTGTGAAGTTACACTGACAACTGTGCTCTAATACTAACGACCGCTCCACGGTTCACCTGTTCGCTGATGCCTTCTTTCCCCCAGGGTGTTCGATCTTTGTGGATATTGTGTCAGAGGGTGTCGCCCTCAAACATTTCCTCGTCGTGTCTGGAGCTAATTGCTAACGTGGTAAATGACTCGCCTTTCTGTGCGTATTCCACGATGAGTGCCTACTTTCTGTGGGGTCAGAAAAACTCCTCTCCTGACGACCAGACATCGATCCCATCTGTCAGCTTTTATAACAACGACGTAGCTTTTTAAAGTGACTGCAGAGATTCTTTGTCTGATACCAGTACTGCAGTATCCATTTAAAGAACAGCCTTTTGTCTCTACTGAAATGGCGTTTTACCAAACCTGATGCACATCAGAGCGTATTGTTTCTGCTGATTTGTCTCACCAGTAATGACTTGTCTGGCATCGGTCCTCAGATTCATATTATCATATAATTTCTTACACAAGCTTTTTGAAGCCTTTCCAAATATAAAGTCAAGTCTCATACTGTATCAACTACTGCCTGGCCATGTCAGTGACAGGGTTTATAAAATAGCCAATACCTCAATACGACTACAAAAAATGACATGTATGTATATATGTATGTGTATATATGTATATATGTATAAATATGTGTACATATGTATATATATGTATATATGTTTGTGTATATGTATATATGTGCATATATGTATGTATATATGTATGTGTATATATATCTATATATATGTATGTATGTGTATATATATATATATATGTATGTATATGTATACAGGGTAGGGCAATATATAAATAATTTAAATAGTTGGAAATAAAGACTGCAAAAAAACCCCAAAAACAAGGATATTGTGAATGTACATTCAGTTCCTTAAACCTTTGCAGTACTGTATGTTACATCATTGTTCGCGGAGCTTCAGTCACTAATTTTACGCATGTCTGACATCGTTATCTAGCCTCCTGATATACTTTACCTTACGTGGTGGCATGTGGCTTCAGCGGGTTCATGTTTCTGTTGTGTTTGTGTGTCAGTGTTAACAGAGCGTGTGGTAAGTTGATTCTGATAGTGGCAGCTGGAAAATAGCATACCACTCTGCCGTACTTGTGTGCAGTAAATATAGTCAGAGACGGTCACTGTTGTTGACGATTTCAGCAAAAGGCCACGGTTGTTTTGTGTCATCACTCCAGCGTGTGCGCAGAATGTAACAATTTGGTCTGTGTTTATTTCCTGTTTCATGTGAGACCTGGCACCAGTACAAAGAGGTGACATTTGTGGCCCTGTAGAAGCTCTGTGAGCCGGTGGTGTGGAGCAGAAAGGGCAGGATTTTACAGTCATCTGTCAGGGGAGAAGATTTTTGTACTTTTGGAAAAGCATTAACCGCTTTTTCTAAAGCTCTGCTCTGCTGTGCGACATCCGAGTCCCCTGGGCCTCGAGGCATCACGGATAATTGAAAAAAAAGGTTTTTTCAATTATGTGAAACTATTTGCTCTGAAATTGATGGTTTTTCACACGGCTGAACGTGAGCTCATGACCATGTGTTTGAAGGATTTGATGATTTTGTCGATCGATTGGCATAAAATATGCTTTTTTTATGCAAATGCAAGGGATGAATTTCTTTAAATGTATGTTCTGAAGAAGAAAAATGTAAACTATTTATCTGTACACTGTACAGCCGTCATGCATTTTGAACCTTTAAACTTGGACTGATCAGCGGAAACATAGGCTTTTCAACCACGTGCCCTGTCTTAGTAATTCTGCATCATGTCTTTTAAGTGAAAAGGTCACGGCGTCACTAACGACCGGCTGTGCTCAGAGGAACCTTAAAGAGACGGAAGAGTCCGGAGCAGACTTAGTTAGACCTCAGTTAACTGTAACATGAATCATGTGGGTTGTAAAGTGTGTGTTTGTCCAGCATAAAGATTCTCCTCCTTCTTTAAATCTTATTATTTTGTCTAGTGACGGCGGTCGCTTCAACATTGACTCCAACACGAACGCTACTTTCTGCAGTTTTTGTTCATTCTACTGGAACTCTGCACATCTGAGCACCTGCTAAATGTGAAGCAGAAGTTAGAATTAGTGACGGTGACGGTGGTGGTGGTGGTGCTGCTGCTACTACTCACTCAGGTGTAGTATGTCACAACTCAATGCTTCTGTCATTTTGTGAACTCCTTGACTTCATACAGTTGGGTTATCGATGCAACAGTCAAATCAAATGAGACCTAAAACGTTCCCTCTGAGGTCAGGGGTCGGCCACCTTCAACACCAAAACAGCCCTTTTTGATCATTTTACCAGCAAATAAAATTCACATGGAACCACAGAAGCGGTCGAACATTTAAATCATGGCAGTAGTGAATAGAGTTTCAGATTAGATTAGTTTAAATTGAACTTTATTTCATGTTTTTTTGCAACTGATAGCACAAGAAAAAAACTATGGGCAATTTACATTTAAATCATGGCAGTAGTGAATAGGGTTTCAGATTAGATTAGTTTAAATGCTAAGTGCTGTGGTAATTCTACAGAAATTTAAATGTATTATGGCTTAATATTGACAATAGGGTGTGTGCTCTCCAAAAGGGCAACTCAAACACTTCAACATTCAATATTTACACACAATCATTTACTGTGACCTCGGGGTCAACATTGCACAGCTGATCCTGATATTCTTTTGTAATTAGCAAGCATTAACATTGAGATCTGTAAAACGTGTTCCACCAAAAGATTTTTGTATTTCTGTCAGAACATAAACACAGAAGGTTCTTAGTCTAAAGTTTTGTTTGTTTTTCTTCTTCTTCTGTCGTTCCAGGTTTCCACCTGATTCCACGTCTGTCCAACATTGTGCCAGAAAGTTGCCTGTTGATAGTGGTGGGCCTGCTGGTGGGGGGGCTCATCAAAGTCGCTGGAGAGAAGGTCCCCCCAGTGTTGGACTCCAGGTTGTTCTTCCTCTGCCTGCTGCCCCCCATCATCCTGGACGCTGGCTACTTCCTGCCCATCCGCCCGTTCATGGAGAACCTGGGCACCATCCTGATGTTCGCTGTGGTTGGGACTTTGTGGAATGCCTTCTTCATCGGCGGCCTGCTCTACGCCGTGTGTCAGATCCAACCGTCCAATCCCTCCGACCTCCACCAACTGGAGCTCCTGCCTTGCTTGCTCTTTGCCTCCATCATCTCAGCCGTGGACCCCGTCGCTGTGCTCGCAGTTTTCGAGGAGATTCACATCAAT